CTGACCTTCGCTACGCAACCCAAGGTCAAACTGATGTGATCAGTAAATACATCTTTTTAAACGCCACAACTTTTATCTGAAACATTTTTTTCTAAAATGCTTAGTTTTCGAGATATTTCACCGGTCCGGGACTTTTTGAACACCTTGTATATATATATATATATATATATAATAATGTTTAACAATGTAAACGTACGTGCACAAGTTTTCCAGTCTTTTATAACGTATGTGGTGAATCAACCTTCCATGTCAAACAGGCTCTATACAGGATGTCCCATTTCAAATGACGCACTGAAATATCTCTTCAGAAACTTGTTTTTGAGATAAATGTTCTTGACAAATTTGTAAAGTTTGTAGGGTGCCATCTATTGATGAACTTGACTCTGACCTTAGCAGCCACTGTCAAGGTTATTTCAAGGTCACGTTAATTTTTTTAAATAAAACTCCTTATGTTTTATTGTAGCTTATCTCGAGAGTTTTCTAAAACACTATAATGATATATTTTTTCCTTGACCTGATTTTGGCAGCACTACCCAAGGTCAATAGTACTTTCTTATGTCCCCCAGCGAATTTTACAACTTTCATCTAAAGCATTTTTCTAAAATGCACTGTTTCTGAGATATTAGCTTGGGTAAATTCAAATGAATCATCATGTTCAGGGTGTTGCGTCAACATACAGATCAGTACGACGGGTTGTTTGCCCGTAAGGCGCGCGTGGCCGATAATGCAGGACCGATAATGCAGGGCTTGCCGATATAATTATATGCCTACTTTATATATATATATATATATATATATATATATATCCGTTACGACCGTGATAATTAGAAACATTGCACATTTCATTGGATAAAGTAGGCATATAATTATATCGGCAAGCTCTGCATTATCGGTCCTGCATTATCGGCCACGCGCGCCTTACGGGCAAACAACCCGTCGTACTGATCTGTATGTTGACGCAACACCCTGAACATGATGATTCATTTGAATTTACCCAAGCTAATATCTCAGAAACAGTGCATTTTAGAAAAATGCTTTAGATGAAAGTTGTAAAATTCGCTGGGGGACATAAGAAAGTACTATTGACCTTGGGTAGTGCTGCCAAAATCAGGTCAAGGAAAAAATATATCATTATAGTGTTTTAGAAAACTCTCGAGATAAGCTACAATAAAACATAAGGAGTTTTATTTAAAAAAATTAACGTGACCTTGAAATAACCTTGACAGTGGCTGCTAAGGTCAGAGTCAAGTTCATCAATAGATGGCACCCTACAAACTTTACAAATTTGTCAAGAACATTTATCTCAAAAACAAGTTTCTGAAGAGATATTTCAGTGCGTCATTTGAAATGGGACATCCTGTATAGAGCCTGTTTGACATGGAAGGTTGATTCACCACATACGTTATAAAAGACTGGAAAACTTGTGCACGTACGTTTACATTGTTAAACATTATTATATATATATATATATATATATACAAGGTGTTCAAAAAGTCCCGGACCGGTGAAATATCTCGAAAACTAAGCATTTTAGAAAAAAATGTTTCAGATAAAAGTTGTGGCGTTTAAAAAGATGTATTTACTGATCACATCAGTTTGACCTTGGGTTGCGTAGCGAAGGTCAGGTCAAGGTCACATTAATTTTTTTAAATGGAACACCCCATTTTTCATTGCATATTCTTATAGCACATCTCGAGAGCTTTCCAAAACGCTATAATAAAATATTTTTTCGTTAAGAACTTTTCGAGTAATAACACTTGAAATTTCCAGCACTTTGACATATGACATAAAATATCTCGTAAAATATTCTTCTTTCGGTTACCTTGTCTTAATGCTTT